GGGCCCGGGGGTTTTTCCCACCGCCGGGGGGGGGCCCCCTCCGGGGGGGGGGGGAGGTTCAACCCCCCCGCCCCCCGGTTTTTGGAGTTCAGCGGGCCCGGGGAAGGAGAGGGGGGTCCCCACCAGGGGGTTTTTTTTCCAAACCAAAAATTCGGCCCGGGGGCGGGGCCCCCCCGGGGGGCCAGCCCCCCCCCGGGGATTCCCCCCCCCGGCGTCCCAGGGCCCTTTTTGGGAAGGGGGGAAAGGTTGTTGGTGGGGTTTTTGGGGTTTCCTGCCCGGGGCCCCGGGGGGGCCCTTTCCGGGGTTTCAAAATTTGCCCTTGGGTTGGGGGGGGGGGGGTTCCCCGGGGGGGGGGGGGGGTTGGGGGTTTTTTTTTTTTTTGGGGTGGCCGGCGATACCCGGCTGCCCAATAAAACACCTTCCCCCTTGTGGGGGGGAAAAAAATTGGAACCCCCTTTTCCAAAAAAAGGTTTTTTACCCCAGGGGGGGGGGGGGGGGGGGGGCAGGAGTTGGACGACAGTGTCCTATGCGTGTGTATGTGTATAATAATTAGGATCGATCGATCCCGCTCAACAGCTAGCTGACCAATGATAATGCCGGGTCTTGACAGTGGGACAAAAAACATGGAAGATTACGCCTCCTTGCCAGCCCCCGACAGCCTGTGTGTGTGTTTTTTTTTTTTTCGCTCTTTATCGTCGAACGCGCAGACCTGCTGACCAATGAAAACACACCAGCCTTGTGTACGCGGCGTGCGTGCGTGCTGCATGATGAACGCCCTACGAGAAGGTTGCACCAAAGGTCCACGGACCGAAAACAAGAGATTTCCAACCCTAGCCCCACTTGCGAAAAATGTGCTGCTGAGCGCGCCGCAAACGACGCACAGGAACACGACGTGCATCTGTCACCTCATCACGAAGCAACACCCAAAAAGAGCACGCAAACTTGCTTTCAGGATGCAAAGCGCTCGAGCACGGCGTTTACAAGGAGATGGCGGGATTCTTCTCCTTCCCGAGACAGACGAAAAAGGCTACATACCCGCCGGGAAGTGTTCATCGTCTGCGCAACCCCCGAAATGCGCGCCGACAGAAAAAAAAGGCACTTTGTACCGAAAAGGAATTTTAACCCGACACGCCCGAAAAAGGACCTCTAGGCCCGGCACGCCTACGAGATGTGTAAGGTGTTGATTTTTCTGTCTCACCAGGAGAGACGCTCCAAGGTCGGCGCAAACGTGCCATCCTCCCCCGGCAGCCGCCGCCGCCGCCGCCGGAACCGCTCCGCCCTCACTGCCCCCCGGGGCGATCAGCTCGGAGTTCCACGCCGCTCCGCTAGTCGAGGCCTCGAAGACGGTGCCGCTCGAGTTGACGCAGTGGAGGACGGTGCCGCCGTCGCCGTTGTAGTCTGGTCGGATGGTGCCCGTGTTGTTGCTGCTGCTGTTGCTGCTGCTGCTGCTGTTGTTGTTGTTGTTGTTGTTGTTGTTGTTGGTGTTGGTGTTGTTGAGATGGCCTTCGACGGCAGCGAATGCCGCGGCGGAAACGCCCATCGCGGTACGCTGCCGCATGCACACATGCAGGTGTGCGTGTGCGGGAGGTTTCGGCGCCATGTGCCGGAACAAACGGTAGGTGCAAGGGGAGGGAAAGGAGTCCGTTGTGGGGGACGAAATGGGTACATGCATGCCTGCCACCTGACGCTGTTGATAGGATTGGTGTAGCACGCTGTAGACGGAGACGCAGCGGGTGTTGCAACCAACGGCCCTAGGCCCAAAAGCCAAAGCAATCACGTCCGAACACCGAGAAATCCCAACCTCATTTGGGCATGAAATAGAATTACGGTCAAATGGCCGCAAAACGTTGGCAGGTAGTCCGATAAGCGTTGCGTGATCAACACGAAAAAAACGTTGATTTTTCCGCCTCGAATGTGTTTCTTTTTCGCCTCGAAACCTCGCACTACACTACAACCTCGACGTGAGACCAGAACACACACGTACAGCGGGTGGCTTGGTCGCCGCTTCATTCACTTCACCTGGCCGAGACCACCGCCTCCGTCCGCGTACAGATCCCTGAACGACAAGCGGCCCGAGCCCCACGAGAGGACGGCGAGGACGGGGTCGAAGAGGGACATGCGAGACACCTCGCTCACGCACCGGAGGGTTCGCAAGAGCCTCGTCGAGTCCACCGCGTAAATCCTTTTAGCAGCAGCCGGCAGACAAAAAAATGAGTCGAGGAAAACAATTTAGCCACATTCTACATGATGTTTCCTGATAAAAGACGTTCGCCAGCAAGAAAAACGAGTGAGCAAAAAAGTACTACTTCCATGTGGACACGTTCGACGTGTTCATGTTGAAAACCTAAGCTTTCCGCCGCGAAAGCCTTCGGGAGTTGTAAGCAAGCGCAGCCACAATGGCGATACTACCCACACGGTCTGTTATTACCCGCTTTGTATGCATATCGTGAGAGAGAGCCAAGGACTTAACATTATCCCTCCCTAAACTATCACGGTTGTAGTTGCACCCGAGCCGCACAGCCGCCCATACACGGTATTTCACACACGCAGGCTAAGTCACTTGGATACGTGAAAGACTCGAAAAGACTCCCGCTTGAAACACCGGAGGTGATAACTACTGCGGACAACTGAAGATGCACGCGCGGAAGAAACACCGCAGTGCACGACGGCACCGGTGAAAGCATCCTGGAACGTCCTTGTCGTCGTCTCTCTCTGCTCCCACAAACTTGCCGAAAAAACAGTTTTACGTCCGGAACATTGTCGTCGTTATCTCTGTCTGCTCCCGCTGGTGCTGCCCTGGAGGCACGCCGAAAAAAAAAACAGAACGCCGCACCTGATTACAAACCCACCCCCGCTCCTCCGCGACCCGCGGCCCGCGGCGATGACCTTCGCTCTATCCAGCAGGACGGCCGTGGTGGGCCCCGTCCCGTCGGCGAGGGAACCGTACACCCTCGTCACGGAGGCGGTGCTCTCGCTTCTGTTGCTGCTGCGGTTCAAGGCTGTGGTAGGGGTCGCGGCCTTGCCGGGAACGCGGGCCGCTGCTGCTGCCCGAGGGGTTATGGCCGACCGTTCCGAGGCGGCGTTCGTTTCGAGAGCAGGGGGGGCTCCGTCACGACAACTTCCGCTACTGCCGCCGCCGCCGCCGCTACCGCCGCCGCCGCTACCGCCGCCGCCGCTGGTGGTGTCGAACAGAAGGACTGGACCCTCTCGAGTGCCGAGGGCCACCATGTTGCCGCAGGCGTCGAGACACGTGGGGTAGAGGGGGACCGGCGTGTCGATCGTCTCCGTGCTGGTCACCGGAGGGGTCTGTTGTAGAGGACGTATGGACGGGGGTAACGCACGATGGTATGCCAAGCGATAAGCGTCAGTTGAAAATAAAGTGTGACTGTTATGTCGAGCGTAGAAGTACTTTTGCAAGAATCCCAGCTAGGAGGAGAAAAAACAAACAAGTAGAAATGACCAATCATTCCACCCCCGAAAATATGTTGGAAACCACGTGCATACAAAACGTACCATCATTAAAGGAACTCTTCCTTTGGGCAACCCAACCGTTTTATCTCCTGTGCAAGGAAACCAACAGAAAATATGCAGGTTTAAAGCGTGGGGTGGGGTCGAAGTTCTAACATCTTCAAAAAACCTTACGTTCGTAGTTTCACAAACTTCTTATGCAAGTCGTGGCACGCTCTGTCGAGCAGAAGCCATGCCGTGTAACCCTACCTGATGACAACACCGGTAAGGACCAACATGAAACACAGCAGCGGTGCCAATGCGTGGCTTCGACCGTCCGGCACTCACCAAGCGTCGGAACGCAACATGGTGATGGTATCGCCGAAGAAACTGCCGTCCTGCTGTCGCCCCCGACCCCGTTCCTTCCGCACCCGCCGCCGCCGCCGCCGCCGCCCGGTTTCTCTTCCTTGTCCCGGCACCGCTAATAGCACCACCGCCATGGCAGCCGGCAGGTGGCGAGGACGCCAAACCGGCGACCCCGATGCCACCTAGAAGGCAATCAACGTTGCTCCTGGGTCTTGTTGCCGTTGCCCTGGGCGCCGAAGCGCGTCCGCCGGAGGACGACGAGGCGGAGGAAGAAGATGCCGAGACCTTGCTGCTACTCTCGTCATGCTGGGGGCGGCGGGGGCTGTTTAGCGGTGGTTCGTATCCCTCGTCGCGGGTGAGGTTGACGGTCATGCCCCGCCAGAAGGAGGGGGAGGCGAGGGACGAGGATGCCCCTTTGCAGAGAAGTCGTGCCTCGCTGAGGGTGCCGTTTCGTAGTAGTGGTGGCACAGAGAAGGAGGACAATGGAGGCGTACGAGTGTCGATATGAACACGTCGCGAGAATGGGGGAGGGCTCTCGGTTACGCATTCAAGTACAATAATAGCGAAAGTGTCTGCTGCCGTGCATGGGTTGGACAGCGCGGACCTTGTTAGGTGTACGTTCCTCCCATCTATTCTGTCGCCACCCACCCTCGGTGTGTATTTGCTCGACGATTCAGCCGACGACGGTTCATACAGGGCTGCTTTCATATCGTTTCACTATTATTTTGCTTCACCTCCACCTCCCGCGGTACTTGCCGTGAATAGTCATCATCGCGAGCCTCTCGATTGTGAGTGCATAATTACTCACGAAAGTCCTACCTTCAAATTGCAAGAGAGACAGAAACCCATCCAGAGAGAGAGAGAGAGAGATAATCGAACTCGCTGGTGGTTCTACGGACCGACATGTTGCGAGCCAGCCGAACTACACACCAGTATCTACTGCTGTAGACGACGGTTGTAGTAGAGAGTAGCCAAAGAATGAGTTGTCGGATTTCCATGAAGCTAAACAGTACTGTACAGTGTTGTTGCGCTCAACAATATTGTAGTGCTGTACAATAGCGCCCAGCCCTCTCTCTTTTCGAAGACCTACCCAGATACAAGAGTGAGTGTTGGTGTAGTAGTACGTACTCGCCCCCAGGACTGCTGGTCAGCAGCAGACAGAGGGACAGCTGGAGAACATGAACCCGCCCACTGTATGTACAAGAAGAAGTATCGAACGGACTCCCGACTCACCTCAGCGACACTACCTCAGGAACAGCGAATTGCAGCACTGTGACGACGACATGGAGAGGTAGCCTGCTCGATGGCGAGGGTCCAGGGTCCATATGCACGTCGGGGGAGGGGCTGGCAGGGTTGTGGTACTGCTGTGTGTCGAAGCGTCACAGGTCAGGCGGCGGGGGGTTCAGTTCAGGGGCCCCGCTGCGCACAGATTACTCATGAGACCGGGGGGGATGTCCCTCTGCCCTTTGGTCGTCAAAACACGCACAACAGCGTTGGGGTTTGATGTTTCGCACCCAGATCCCCAACTCTGTAAAGAGACCTCTCATCAACAAGTGAGTGCAGCAGGGCGCGGTTTGTAGATCCCTCATGGTGACCCGATCAAAGGATGCACATCGGCAGGTTCTGTACTTCTCGTGTTTGACTTTCTCTGAGATGCAAATGCCTCCTTGCTGGTTCCAGGGGTTTGCCTGTGCTCGCCCTCTGAATGACGTGACTCTTCTCCCGCCTTGCTGTTGGGTTTTGTGTATGCGCCTTCAGCTCATGGCGAGTAGGACTGCGATGAGGATGGTGGAGTAGCGGCTCATGTATGTTAAACCGAACGAATGTGTTACCTACGGTAGTACAATAGCACAACGCACCATCTACGAATTCTGCCTGGATCTGACAGTCCCGTGGGCACTCTCTTCTTCTCGTCAGTCTCTCCGCTCTTCCCCGTTTGATCCAGTGCCTGAGGAGCGGTGAGGGTTGGTGTTTTGGGAAAGCCCTCCTTGTTTATCGCATAATTTGATGGATCCAACCCTTGTTGTATTTGTGCCTTGGTGTGTTCGTGGAATGGGGCAGCCCGGCCGAGGCGGGCAGGCTTGCCCCATACCTTAGACTGTAGGACTGCAACTGTAACTAGTAGGACTAGCAGTTGACTACAGAGTTGTAAATGTTTTAAAATTTGGGAAGTGGGTCCACAGTGGTTAAAGCCTTTGCTAAAGTATGCGAGCTGTTTTCGTCCAGGCTTAGGTATTGATCTTGTATAGGCTTTTAGTCTAGTAATTTTTAAAACTACTTTTTTTGTTCCTATAAAGCGTTGAATTAATTTAGTCGCCGTATATAGTTTTAGGTCAGATTCATTTTTGGCAGTTGCGAGCCTGGCGCGGACAATGAACGCACGAAAAAGATTCGTCACAAAGGAATGCTAATGTTCAATGAGTGCACTCAAGCAGAATCTTCCGACGCAACCGTGTGCGGTGGATAGCTGCCCAATATCCATCCATCATGATCTGCTATGCCTGTGTATCGTAAAGGGGTTGCCACGTGTTGTACAATGTAGGAGACCCGATGATGGAGTAGTGTGTTTACTGTCTCTTGCGGGACAGCGGGGCTTGCCGCGCCTTGTTATTCGGTAGGGCTGAGCAGAAGGTGTTGTGATCCGTCCCTCAAGACAATCCCATAACATACGAGTGTACTATAGTAGGGGAAGGCGGCCGCCCGTCGATTAGTTAGGCGGGACGGCCGCTTGACGGTAAAATCACCGCCCGAACATTAGCCGGGATGGGCACTGGTAAACATGATGTACGAAAAAGAGAGGGTGAGAATTGTTGGAAGTGGGAGGACTATGCGTCCTAGGAGCATAAATAATGACATTGATGGTCCGTGTGTCGAAAATAATGATATACTTGGAGTTAGAAAGGTGAAAAAATGTAAGAACGGGATGGCAAAGGTAATGAACGAAACAAGAGTTATACATATGTGTGTGTGTTTATTATTAGCATCGATGACGATACCCGGCTGATGACTGAAAAGACGACAGTCTCAGTGCGGTTGAAAACACAAAACGCTTGTAAATGCCCATGAACTGGGATTCCATGAGGTGGCGGCATGGAGGAGGCAACCCGTCCAAAGTTTCCTGCGAAGCCCTTGCCGGCAACGACATAACGACATGAAAACCATCCCGCATCTGATGCACCCGACAACCCACAACAGTATCTACACGACCATGATTGAAATCGACGCCGTCAACGGCGTCATCCGCCTTGTCTGAAATATCCACAAGTGCAGATACACCGTTGACACAGAGCTCGATCCTCCGCAATGCCGGGCAAGGAAGACCGGTGCTCCCACCAAGGACCACGAGCAACGCGGGGCGAATGCTGTCTGGCGAAATCAATGCATTTAGTGAAAATTATCCTCAACCTTGAGAAGGTCGTTGCGGAGATGTCCTTGGAAGGCTTCATTGTTGAGAGGTGTGTTGGTTGGCCTTGTTTCGGCGCTGTTACCAGGGGAGCAAAACGGGCACACAAGAAAAGGGGAAGGGTATGTGAATGACATAGGATTATGAACAGTCAATGGCATATTGGCATAGTCTCACGGAGCAAAGCAGGTGAAACATGTAAGTTGGCGAATAGTGTGCGGTCATGCACTTGATCTGTGAAAGTAAAAAATGGATGAAATGGTGCAGGAGGGAACGGGGTGGCAACACGTTGGTTGGACAACACGGAGTTCAAATAGCAGAAAAAAATATGTACAATTGTAGTGGAATATCGGAAACGATTGGTAGCCGAGTTCAGCAAAATACTCTCTCTCCCTGATCTCCCCCCTTTACCGCTCTGTCCTTCCTCCGATGGACGTATTCTCCACTTGTCACATTGCCAGGATTTGAATCAAATGAATCGACAATAACAAGAAACGTTGGGCGTGTACCCCGCGTTGCGAGACTGATCTGCAAGCACGGCAAGTACTCAAGGCAGCTCCCCCCTCTCTCTGTCTGTCGTCAGGTAGTTCGCACAAGAAGGCACGCCTTTTCGTCCGATCCACTCCCGGTGAAGAAGTCGTACCGTAGATGAATACACTCGTCAGGAACTTTCTGGCCGCGGACCGGTTCGCCGTCGTCGGCGCGTCCACCAATAGGAGCAAGTTCGGCAACAAGGTGGAGTACAAAATTATATCGATCGACATCAACCATTATTTCACACGCGCTCTCCTTTCCTCCCGCACCCGCAACAAACGCAAATGGCCTTGCATCCGTTGCATATCCGTTGCACAGCTGCAGATCCACCTCACTGCAGTAAATAATCTTGTTGAGAAATAAAAAGAACGATACGTATGTAGATACTGTTGTTCTTTGCACTGGGGATCGGGCGGTTTGGGCCGGGAAAACGACGGGGGCATATACCTCCAGTATGCGACATCGAGTATCTTGGGGGCTCCGCTCCTGGGAATTTCCGTGCCGGAAATGGTGCCCTCTGATTGTCTCCCCAAGCACCACGTCGTCGTATTCTCGACACCGTTGTCGATCACGTGTCGGATTGGATCGGGCGGACCAAGAGCTCTTGTTTTTGGCTGAACACGCTGGCCGTCGCCAGAGTCACGTGTGTGACCGCGCCGGCACGACCGGTTGCACCTACCTGTAGCCGTCTCCGCCGACAAAAAACCTCGTCGTCGGGTCGACGTCGCGTGCCACTTCGGCGTGTGCGTGCGGCGTATCTGCTGCTGCAGGTGCTGCGGTGCTACCTGTGGCGGGAGAAGACGGTCGTCCCTGTTAACCCGCGCGAGGAGGAAATCGAGGGGAAGAAGTGCGTCAAGTCGCTCTCTGACCTTCCGGACCCGCAAGACGTGTCCGTTTCCGTCGTCACTCCCCCGGGTAAGCCAGGGAGGGAGGGGCAGCCTCTCTCTTGGGTGGTACGATGGCATAGGTATCCTTTCCTCCTGCTGCCGACGCTGCTGCCGAGGAGCCATGCTCTTGCCCTTTGTGAGGCATTTGCGGAGGGTGATGGTGCATTCAACTGTGGTATGCAAACCGGTCTAGGCTAGTACCACGCTGCGTGGAGTGGACGACCTACGTTGCACCGCGCGCTGCGAACAATCTTGAACAAGCGTGGCCGCGGAAGCTTTCGAACCAACCCGCACGTTCTCGCCCTTACGATTCCTGTCAGCGGTGACTCTCGCCGTCGTCGAGGAGGCTGGGCGGCTGGGCGTGAAGAGGCTGTGGCTCCAGCCGGGGAGCGAGGACGACGAGGTGTGTGATGTGTCATATCATCCGAGGTGACGATGCCGAAAGTATTCAAGGTGTAGCCGATTGATGATCGATCAACCGTGTTCTGCCCATGGTATAATCACTGTTTGGCGCACATCAAATGGATGTAGCGCGCTACACGGATGATCGATCTCTCGTGTTCTGCCTATCGCACATCCTGCTGTAGCGGCCATTGTTTGGGGCACACCACATGGACGGCATTACGTAGTGTGCCTCCATGCCCCTGCTCCATGCCTCTCCGAGCTAAACCACGCTACAGGCACATGAACACGGCGGTGGGATGGTTGAGCAGGGATCGGTGCTATCGCCCCCATGTGTATAGGGTGTGTTGTAGCGCGGGGAGATGCGTGACTTAAGAGTGGAGCTTGGCTACCGTGGAATTACTGCACAATGAAGTCTTGTGCGCACAAACACAGGTCTTGTCGAAGGCCGAGGAATTGGGCCTGCAAATCATCCACGGGGAGCCTTGCGTTTTGGTAGAGCTCGGCTACTACGCCCCCGGTGGCCTGGGCAGCAGCAGCAGCGACGGCGGTGAGGGCAGCGGTGGCGGCGGCGGCGGCAGCGGCAGCAGCCTGTAGACGCTGAGCAAGCGGGCCACAATAAGGATTTTTGTACGGAAATAGACGGTTTTTTTTGTGTCTAATTTCTCTCCCTGGCGGCGGCTGCGGTGAAAGGTTAGTTTCGACGTTTTGTGTGGTTGATGGAGGAGATTCGTTTCGGGCCACACGCAAGAACGGGGGTGCAAACAGCGGTCAAGCCGGGGGAAAAACAGAGAGATATACATCCGAAGCGAAGCGAAAAGGGATTTGTCGAATACTTCGTTTACCGAGGGAGAGGCAAGCGAAAGCAGGAATGCCTCCGCCGCCCCTTCGCGGAGAACCCAAGGTGGTTGCACCGGCACAGAGGAGACTTTTGCGGACGCTGCTGATGTGCCTCCTTGCCGCCGCTGGTACCACCGCTGCGGCGGCGTGGGTCTTGCATCTCCGACGGGCAACTCCCGAGTGCGACACACTTGCCGACGTCTCGCACCAGGGCCTTACCTGCGGGGTTACCCCAGGCGGCAAGAGCGTCGGGTTACTGCACGAACATCAGCAGGAGCAGCAGCAGGAGCAGCAGCAGGAGCAGCAGGAGCAGCAGCAGCGTTTTTTTTTCTTCGATGCGCCGGACGGCCCCTCGGCTCCGGGCGTCGGGCACAGCCAAGACCACCACGAGCAGCAGAAGTTTCAGCAGCGGGAGCGGCGGCCTCCGTGCGCCGACAGCGACGACCCGGCCTACGCGTGCCTCGTGCCGCGCCCGCCCGGGTCTTTCGCGGACGAGATCATGGTGTACCTCTCCTTGTCGTCGTCGTCGTCGGCTGTGGGCGATGTAGCGCATCAGCAGCAGCAGCAGCAGCAGCAGCAGCAGCAGCAGCAGTGGCTTTCCGTCAAGGTCGTGGTTCCCGCGGCATCTCGGGGGAGTGGAAGCGGGGGCGGAGGAGGGGCGAGATGGGCTTCGCTTGGGTTCTCTCCGGACGGCAAGATGGCGGGTCCGAGCGAGGCCGTAGTCGGGTTCGTGGGGGCGGCTGAGGCGGGCAGCAGCAGCAGCAGCAGCAGCAGCAGCAGCAGCAGCAGCAGCAGCAGCAGCAGCAGCCAAGGTAAGGGACGTTTTCTTTATCTCGAGACAGGAACGCTATATTTGTTTTAGAAAATGTATGCATGCAATCACTCAAAGACTTTGCCCGGTTGAAATCAACCCCTCGGTTATTGGGAAAATATTTATGCCTGCCTTCCACCCGATGTTGGTTTGAGCATAACTTTGTTTTGGCCGGCGAAATAAGCTCGCGTTGAAAGGAAGTGACTTCGTTGCCTGCCATTTTGTTCACGCTGATTCTAATACATCCGTTTTTCCCGTGGACCGTCCACTTTGCCACTAACCGTTCCATTCCGTCCGGGCATCTGGCTGCCGCAGAACCACCGGCGGCGGCGGGGGTCCTCCGCTACCGCATGGACGGTTACAGAATCGCCTCCGTGACACCCCTGTCGGGTCGACACCAGGTTCTGACCGAACAGAGCGTCGAGACCACCGCAGAAGGTTCTCTCATCGTCCGTTTCAAGCGCCCCCTGGTGGAAACATTCTCGCCGGGTCGAGACGCTTGCGCGGCGACGGCGGCGGCCGTGGGGGGGGGGGGTACGGGGGGACTGGAGACGGCTGCTGCAGGAGCGGCGGCGGAGGTCTGCTCGGGGAAAGCGGGCGGATCATCCATGGAGTGGTTGGATCCCCGAGAGCGGGGCGTGGTGCTGCTTTGGGCCTACGGCACGGGGGCCTGGCCGAGCTACCACGACGCCACGGGGGCGTTTGTTCTGCCGCCGTTGACAGCAGTAGAGGTTGATTGACCCTCGCACGAGCGGTTCCTTCTCTGTAGAAGCGTCTTGACTGCGGCCGAAGTTGCTGTTGGTGTTGGGGCTGTTACAGCAGTAGGGGGGGTGGTTTTCCAACCCCTCACCTTGTGCAGAAAGGCTTTTCTTTTGTGGGAGGATCTTCGGTTCTTGTCTTTTGTTGTGTTTCTTGCTTCGCCGTTGATCAAAGACGGACGAAAAATGATTTTTTTGGAAGCACAATCAACGCTTCTCTCGCCTTTGCTGTTCGCAACCTTGGTGATTGGCATTTGAGGTCATTTCCATGTGCGCTGTTGCGAGGCAGTCCGGTACTACATGTTGTGAGGGCCAAGGAGGTATTTTGTTGTTTTACGTAGACCCCACGATCCCCTCCCCTCTTTGGAGGGCGTTCATGACGAAGCTATTCTTGTTCCACACTCCAAATACACTAGTCTACACTACGTGCCAAGTCGACGAACCGAGGACTGCCCAAGATCCAAACGGTCGAAACCCTCCTACAATTCTCGATTTTTCCCACAACACGCCTTTCGCTCGATTTGTCGTCTATTGCACCCGGGGACGGACAGCTGGCGCCGATCGGCCATTTTTGACGTGTCCGAAAGACAGACGTCGAATCGCGTGAAACCGCATAGAGTACCACGGCAGGTATGAGTAGACTAGCCCTCGACCATAGGAATATTTTCCTTGTTCCTTGAGCCGGCAGATTTAGTGTTGATGAACCGTAGAGCCCCGAGATCACTGGACACATCGGCATATTGTCACAATAGACTAGCGCTGGCCCAAGGCGGCCAACCCGCTCAAGAAACGTGCTCGCAAGAACCAAGAAATCGAGGCCGCCGATTTTAAAGGATACTTAAAAAACTAAGACTACAGAGTTTTCCTGTGCAGAAAGGGGAAAGAAATTGACTTAGTACTACACCACACCAAACCCCTAGATGGCTTCGCAAAAATAGCCGGTGAGTCGAGACACTCGGGGGCTTTTCTCAAATATTGAGTTTCTTGCAAGCGAGCCAGCACTGCTGTATGGCACTGACTTTGAGCTGTACAAGGCATTTGTTTCCGACACATCCGCGAGCTCCAACGAAGCGAAACTAAAAAGGGCCGTTTTATTCCAATTTTTTTGTCCAAAATTGGATTTTTTGGCGCAAAAATTTGGAACTTGACCGAACGGCTCATTTTATACTACGTGCTGCAGCTGGTCTTTGGTCTTTGGTCCAGTAGTTTTTGCAGTCTGTTAGTGACTCTTCCTATCTAACGGCTTTTACGCCCTCTGATTGGTCCGGCGTTGGTTCCTAGCCTTGACCCTCTGATCCCACTGTTCCATCTACCTCTCTCTGTACAATCTCTCTCTCTCTCTCTCTCTCTCTCTCTCTCTCTCTCTCTCACACACACGACGAAAGAGCATGTGTAGGTGGTAGATATGGCGCTATTTTGGTGCATGTCCCTACGGCTGCATCGGCACCAATGCCATGTGCACGAAAGCTCCAACCCTAACCCCTTTTTTTCACGACACCTCCCTGCTCCACCCATGGCTGTCGACCTGCGTGCTTCCAGATGAGACCCCGGCCTCCAAGCCCCTAACGGCGTCACCAGAGACCGTCGAGGTTCCGGAGGCCCTGGTTATGGCGGTGCGTAGCGCCATTCGCAGTGGGGCGAGCATTAACCCGGAGAAAATGATGGACTGGGAAGAGAATGCCTACCTCGCCAGTCGCGTTTTGGAGGTGATGTAGCGGATGAAGACCGCGCGTCAGGGGCCGGCGTCGCCACCGCTGGCCGAAGGAAGAGCAAGAATTGCGTTCCCCGGGCGGTGGAGCTTGATGGTCGCCGAGCGCTTCAGGGAGCGCCTTGCCGCGAGCAGGACGAAGTTGTCTAGGACGGAGCTCGACAATAATAAGGAGACCGGCAACAAGCGGTCGGTATACTTTTGAGCTATGGAAGGACTTCAAGGACACGGACGTGGAGGTGAGGTCTGAGTGTAAACCGTTTCCGTTAGCCCGCAGGAACGTATTTCGTGGAGGTTACGTTCAAGTCTAGTTCGTATGCTCACAGCAATCTAGCACCCAGGGTCAGGGGTTTGAATCCCGTGGAGAGGGAGATTTTATTGCGAAGTGAGTTTTTATCTCGCGCCCGTCCTAGCGCTAGTTAGTGTGCACTCTTCTCGCATTTTGTCGAAGGCAAGGACCGTAGGAGGGTGGGTAGGAGCTTTGGGGGGATGAACCTTTTTGTGTAACAACGGGTTGTTGAGGTCCTACCCAGTAGCAAGAACCCTAAGTACTGGGCCCGCTAATAGTGCCGGTATGTGCCCAGAGATAATATCGGCACTATTGAGGGCACCGGCACTAATCAGAATAGTGCCTCAATAGTGCCGATTCGGCACTATTGAGGTTTCGAATATCCTTCAATAGTGCCGGTCCGGCACTATTGAGGAGATGTTTGATTTCATGCCGTGGCGCTCATGCGTTGCGGCGCTAACAGAGTACGAAATGGATCAAACTTAGTGAAGGTCTATCGTGGGCGTAGGCATCCTTTCTCGCGACAAGGATGGTTCCCCCTTGTCGCACACACAGAGGGTGAGTTGTAAAAAATATTACTTACATGTTGCACCGTTATTTTCTGCCTGCCTCAGCACATGAACTGTACTGCACACCCTGAACTGTCGAAACTGCTGTTGACGGCAAGATGCTTGTAAAGCTCCCGTTCGTACAGGGTGGACGAAGCTATATCTCAGCCCTCGAGCCCCCTCCTTCGATGTTGCAAGATACAAAAGACAATACAGAACAAGAAACACGACAGGAAGCGCACTGCAAGAAAACAAACAATCAATACTACTGCACTACAGTTGTATCTCCCCCCCCTCTACGTCGCGACACTGGAGTGTCTGCCTGGCGTACCCGCTTCGATGTTGCAAGAAAAAGAAAAAAAAAACTACAAGTACACGGACAGGAAGCGAACCGCAAGAAAAAGAAACAACCATGAACTCTACGTCGCGACAAATTCTCTCGTGTCTGCCTGGCGCACCCGCCTAGCGGAATGCGCTGCGATCATCGACATATTCGCTTTCGTTAGGTAGAACGCCGCGTCTCCGTTGCCACTGTCCTCTGCTGCCGCTTCCATGGCGCCGAAGTGAGACGACAGTTCTTCATAACCCGGTGGCGCACGTGGGGCACGGCGCTCGCGCCCCGTGTTCTCACCGCCGCCGCCCTGGTCCTGTTCGTCCTCCTCGTCGTCGCCGCCGGTAGACAAGTTCGTTCCAGCCAGCAGTGCCGTCATGTCTTCCACCGCGTCCAGTCGAAGAGCCTCTACCACCTCCTCGTTGTCCTCGATGGTAGCCCACCCCTGAATCGCGGCCACCGCTTCCCCCGCGACCGGCTTTCCGGGTTCGATGTTGAGTTCTGCCAACAGTTCACTGACCTCCTCGTCCACGACGCGGGATCCCTGCTTCTGCGCGTCCTGCACGCTCGTGCTCAACGTGTTGACATTCTCTGCGAGAGCCTTCAGGTCAGGCTCGGCGACGTTGAACCGGGTCTTTCCGTGTTGCTTGGTGAACTCAGCCGCCATCTCCTCCGGAAGCGTCTCGGCTTTGACAAAGCACCTGGCCAGGTAGCGCAGAAATTGTGATGAATCCGTGTTTGGGTGGACAAGCGATGTTAGACGAACCCAGTGACAAACAATGACTCATAGGGATGCGAGAGAGGGCCTTTTTTTTTAGCAAAGAAAAAGGAGATTTGCGGTTGCGGGAATATTCAGTCGAAAAATAAAACCTATCCGTACAACCTTACCCACGTAACGTACCACCAAAGCCATGTGCACTTGCGCGAGCTACACATTTAAAACAGCGATATCACATGTTCGAACCTCACCTGGCGATGTCTTGGGCGGTGACGCTGGCCCATACTTTCTGGAGAAGTTCAGCGGCGTCCCGCACGTGAGGTTGGTGCCCTTGCGCTAGCCCCATTGTCCCGGCCTTGATCTTGCTGGCTTTGGCCTGGGCGCGAAGTGTGTCAGCCACCAACATGGTTGATGTCTTCACATCGAGCAGCTCCTTCCTGTAGTTGACCTTCGTCTTGGCGATGATCCCCAAATCCCATGGGTTGGTGTACGGCGGTGCACAGCGGAGGGTAGGTCTTGACGGTAACTTGCCCGCGATCATCCACTAGATCACTGTGAGACGAACAGCCGTCCATCAGCAGCAGCACAGGTTCGTGAGTGAAGCGTCGAACGCACGGGAGGAAGATTTCAAGCCACCACTTGAGGAACGTCGCGGAGTCGGACCACGCGTTGGTCTGCGACAAGTACTTCAGAGGTGAACCCCCGTTCTTGAAGCAGCGGGGTTCCTTTGCCCTCCCGATGATGGCCATGCCAACCTTCGCAGTGCCGTCGGCATTGCAGCACATGATGGCAGACAGTTGGTCCTTGAAGTACATGCTCTCTGAGCCCCGCGCCGTCTTCCGATCCTCCGAGGTGGAAAGGTACGTGCGCCTGGGCATGAGCTTCCACTGGAGGCCCGTCTCTTCGACGTTGAAGATGAACCTAGCCGGGTACTTGTCGCAAAGGGCCCTGATTTCCTCCATGCCCTCCTTGATGGCCTCCTTGTCGACGCTACCAGCCTCGCCATGAAGTCTCACGCTCTGGATCTTGTTGCGCTTCACGAAGATGTTCGCCCACCTCTCGCCGGCCTTGAAGTCCTCCACCCTCTCCTTCAGTGCTGCAGAAGTTGCGGTGTCAGCCAGCAGGGTTGCCCTGGCAGAACGGCCGACGCTTCGAAGGATATCGCGTGTGACGGGCATCTTGGCCTTCCGGGCTTTGTCGAGTAGATCAAGAGCTATCGCATCCACCTGCCGCCAAAAAACGAGTAAATAACGCAGGGAGTGCAAAAGATCGAACGGTTAGTTTCGAACGTAAGCATGCTAACCTACACTGCGCGGCGCGGGCCGGCGGACGACACGTACCCTGCAACACTAAGCTCACACGTTCGAGTATTGTTCCCAATTGTGCACTAGAGTGGCGAACACTTGGACAAAAATGCGGCAGGTACAAAAAGAAGCGCTGCCGTGTTGTAGTAATTTACTGGTTTAAAATTGAAAAGAGGGTGTGTGCGAGAGCACAAGGAACGAATGAACGATGAAAGCGGAGATGAAAGAAGAAAAACGAGAGACAAAAACAAGGAAAGAAGAAAGCCGAAAAAAGACAACAAAAAGGAGTAAGAAAGACCAAAACAAAACAAAACACAAATTGGACATCCAGCAGCGAACGAACCAGGCTCGAAAAAAAAATGCCGGCAAAAAAAATGGCGGGGGAAGCAACCCAAGGTCACAGCATTGCGTGTAGCGCACCTCCGGAAAATCTCCTTTGCGTGCAGTTTTCTGGCTGCCGCAGCCTGCTGCAGTTGCTGTCTCCACCTTCTG